GGGTGCATTTTATCAAAGGAAATATTTTTCGCATTTTGTAGACGCCCTCCTACTCTGAGAACACCAGTTTGATCTAAATATGGGTAAAGATTAGCTAAACCAGATTTAATAGGTTTTCCCTTTATCATTGACTCTATGTCCTTATGAAAGTATTTTCTTTGAATACACCGAATTACTACTGAGAGTCCGTTATAGAGCTCTTTAGGCATCAGCGAACCACTAAATTTTTCTTGACTGAGACAATTATTTTTAAAACGTAAAATATAAGAGATGACTCTTTGTAATTTATTAATATCAGAAATTTTTTGAAATAAATCGAATACAGATGGATCTATACAGTAGACATTCACTGATAATTCAGGCTCATGATTTACTATGGGATAGCTACAGTCGGCAGGTGTATGGCAAAATTTATTATTTATTAAATCTTTAGGACCATGCCACCACAAATAATTTGATTGCAATTTATGTGGATCAATTCCCCTTGTGAGCAAGTCTGCAGGATTATCAGAAGTTTTTACATATGACCATTGAAAATCTTTAGTTAAAGAATTTATTTCCTTAACCCTATTGGAAACATATGGATTCGCTTTAATATTGGCCATTTTAATCCAGGCTAATACTATCTGTGAATCGCTATATAGAAACACCTTTAACTTCAATCTTGTTTGCAATATGGTGCTTACTCTGTTTACTAATTTTGCTAGTAACAAAGCACTATTAAGTTCTAACTTTGGAATGGTTATGGATTTATTTAGAGGGGCAACCCTTGTTTTAGAACAAAGTAAGTTACTAGAGACACTAGAATCAGAATTAAAATTTCTCAGATAGAGACAGCAGCCAAATGCCTTAAGAGAGGCATCCGCATATCCAACTAACTCTACATGGAATAGAGTATTGGTGTATATGACTCGTGGTATTTTAATTGTTCCCATCGAGTTGAGATTAAATAAAAATTTATTCCAATGATCAATTTGTTTCTGGGGCAATGTAGAGTCCCAGTCAATCTGCATAGACCATAGCTCTTGCATAAATAACTTGGCTAGTACCACTACAGGACTAATCAAACCTAATGGGTCAAAAATTTTCCCAATAAAACTAAGAATTTTTCTCTTAGTTTTCATATAATAATTGTTTTCAATGATAGGACTTGAAAATATAAATATAATATCATATTTTATACCCAGAGTTTTAACAATATTATTTTTATGTATTTTTTCAAAATATTTTTTATTAGAAGGAACATCATGTAAAACCTGAGGACAATTAGAACACCATTTGTGCAGCTCAAATCCCATATTTTTAATAATTGAATTAATTGAATTTTAATTTGTTCAAGCTGCTCTAAACTATCCGCACCACATATAATGTCATCGACATAAGTATTAGAAAGCAGGGCTTGTGCAGCTTGTGGAAATTCATTTTTATTTTGTCTAGCTAACTCTATAAGGCATCGCGTGGCCATAAAGGTGGAAGCCTTCAGTCCATATGTGACTGTCTGAAGTTGCAGGATAGAGATAGGTTTTTTGGGGTCATCTCGCCACAGAATATTTTGAAGACCAAGTTGATGTTTATTTATATTTATGGCTCTAAACATTTTTGTAATGTCACAGGTAAGTGTGTAACAATATGTTCTAAACAACAATAATATGTCAAAGAGTTCATTTTGGACCACTGGGCCATTCAGCATGACATCATTTAAAGAGATTTTGTTCAAAGATGGCATACTTCCATCAAACACAACACGCAGCTTAGTTGTTACACTGTCCTCTTTAAATACGGCATGATGGGCCAAAAAATAAACCGGTTCGTTATCAAAATCATAGGTACTGATATCAACAATTTTGGCATGTCCCAAGGCAATATACTCCTCGATAAATAATTTATATTGTTTAAAATACATAGGATTCTTATTAAACTTTTTCTCTAATGATAAAAATCTTGGAAGGGCCACTGAAAGAGAATCCCCAAGCTGCAAGTCATGTATATCAGTAATAAGAGGCATATCAATATGAAATTTATTATTTTGAATATTTACCGAATTTATGAAACATTGTTCAGCTCTCTGAAATTCAGTTAATTTTGAAACCTCAGTTACAACTTCAGGAACTCTTTCAGACAGCCAAAAGTTTTCCATTACACTTTCTAACGTTTCATTATCATATATTACCAAATTAGAAACAAAGTTATTATATTGTAGGTGATTCAGGTTTGATTCCTGATTATTACACTTTGTGTCTTGACTATACATATCACCTCCCACAACATAGCCAAATAATGTGTTTTGTAAAACAGGACCATTAGGTATTTTAATATGACCATCTAATAAACAATTAAAAAATATGTCAGCACCCAGAAGCATAGGAATCTCAGATGGTACATAAAACTCATCATCAGAGAATTTAATATGATTTGGAAAATTAAAACTTGAAATATTTATATATTGTTGCGGCAGGGGAGCTGTAATGTCATTGACAACATGGCATTTTACATTAAACTGAACATGAGTTACTATAGAAAATATTGTAATATTTACAAATTTATTTATTTGATTATTTCTCTTACCAATTCCAAGTATGTTGGATTGGCAACTTTTAGAAGTTAAATTCAATTTATCCATCAATTTAGTGGTGATGAATGACACCTGACTACAACTGTCAAGCAAGGCTTTTACATAGATATCTTGACCATATTGGTCAATGATTTTAACCTTTACAGTAGGTAGAATAAGATTATTTTTTACATTTATAGAATGCAAAGTTACAGGTTCCTCATGATTCTCATGAGAACTATTATTTTTGTGCAGAAGCGTATTGTGGCTCTGTTTACAGTATTTACAAACAAAATTAAATTTACACTTACCTATGTGATATTTCAGGCAGGTATTACATAATTTATTAATTGTTACAAACCGCAAGCGGTCCTCTAAGGCGGCCAGCTTGAAGCGAGGACAGCCATGTATAGCATGGCCGGTACCTTGACAAAACAAGCACAGCTTATTAGACTTATTACTAGTAGTAGCAATATTGCTGACTTTATTATGTGCAGTGGGAGATTTATTTGAAGTAATAGTGCTACTTTTATCCCCACTGTCTTCCAGCGCCATAGCACGCCGTTCTAAAAATGAAATAAAATCTACCATTGTTGGCAATGTATTGGGATCCCTATCTAATTGGAAAGCCCTATTTGTATACTGGTCTAATTTTTTAGTAAGTATGGATATCAACAGCATGTCCCAATGTTGGACTGGCTGCCCTAAATTTTTTAATGCATACATTTGTTGCTGTACCCCTGATATAAATGACCGTATAGCGGCCGCAGTACCTTTCTGCATACAAGGTAACTCTAAAATTATATTAATATGATTAGAGATTAATCTTGCCTCATTATCAAACCGTTTATTTAACAATTCTAGGGCCTCTTTGTAGGATTGATTCACAAGAGGTAAGTTCTCAATGACAGATAAGGCGTCATGAGTTAAAGATTTTCTTAAATAAAATAATTTTTGTACATCGGACAATGAACTATTGTTATGTATTACTGCCAAAAACAAATCAATAAAAGGCTTAAATTTGGTGAAGTCCCTGCCATCATATGACGGAATTTCGATATTGGGCAGCTTAGAATTGGATACATTTGTGCACAATGAATCTGTCTGAGTTAACTTCTTTAAAATTGAGGTTATTTTTGACATTACATTAAAGTACCTATCTTCTATGATGCCCACATCTTCCACATCTTTATCGTCATAAGATAATATATTTAATTGTACCTCCTCATATTCTCTAAATATGTTTGTTAGTCGATCTCGTCTCGCCGCAAACATTTCAGGAGACGACCCCAAATTGATAGGGTCTGCCACGAAGTTTTCAATGCGAGTGATTGATGCCTTGATGAGTTTACGCCGGTTTTTCAAATCACGCAATAGAGTGTCAGAATTCTCCATTTTTTTTACGGTTTATTTTTCACAAACACTTGAAATTCAGAACAATAATTATGCACTTTATTTGTCACAATGATACAGCAGTTTTGTTTTTTGTAATGTGACAGATTATAAAAGCTAAAGTCACTGTGTGCCACAGAGCGAAAATAGGAAAAGGATGACGTAACTTTAAGACTCTTTGTCTCTTCTTGCTTTGAATTTTAACTCCGTGGATGGAGATACCCTCGTCTTGGAAAAATATTAAAATGCTGATATTATATTGAGATTCAACTTAGCTGCCAGTTTTTCTTGTTCTTGTGCGATGTGTATCACGAGTAATCACGACGATGTTGAAATTTCGCAACGAAATTATAGATTTCGCACGAAAATCTTCTGGGGCCGGCCGTCGACGTGGTATGGCCGTAGACGGAGTATGTTGTTCGGGATGATTTGTACCCAAACAACAGTCGAATTTCACAGCTTCGATGGACCACAAGCAGTATGTTGGATTAATAAAACAACATATGCTTTTAATATGTTTGGACTGTATTTTTATATTTGATTTTACAGGAGTACAGTGTGTATGGCTTGATAGTTAGAAACAGAAAGGGGTGAGTGACAGTTTGAATGAATCCTTTTTAAACTGTTAAGTGTTGCCATTACAAACCGAAAATATATACTACAAAATATTTATATTTATTTTAGGTTCAAATTGTCCTGAACATTAATAAAGTAATAAATATTTAAAAAAATCGGCCTCCTCTCTTCTACGTTGCAGCGCCTAAAAGGTGCATATTGTGTGTGTGAATTAATTCATTGATATACCATAATTGTGTAACACAACGTAAATAAATAAATAAATAAACATATTCAAGTACTTGTACTTCAAATCTGCCACGGTCATATATTACAGATGGCTATTTTTTGAATGGAATATATTTTATTTTATTTATTAATAATGATTTCAAATTAAATTAAAACTTACATTTTTATCGAGTTCACTGTACTGAAATTATAAAAAAAAAAATGTTATTATAACAAATTAGTATATTAAAATATTGTTTTATTTATGTTTCAGATCTTGCCGAAATGGGAGGCTGTCAAATCAGGAACAATCTCTTTCAAGTTTCGAACCAACGAGCCCAACGGTCTGATTGTCTTCAACATGGGCGCTAAACCACCAAGGGTAGGTTGCACGGTAAGGGGTGGAGCTTTTGGGGTGGAAAGAAGCCACATATGAGTTAAAACAATTATCATCTATCATTGTGATCATTGACATCAAATTCATCAAATGATTCCGCTTTATTATCACTAAAGGGGATTGAATTTAGTTTCACATAAAATATTGGCTGACATAATTCTTTACCTGTTACCCGTGAATTCGTCCGCGTGGAATGAAAATAAAAAATATTTCTAACATAAAAGTAGCTTAAGTTAGTCGTTATAACATTAGTGATATTCGAATGAGTAGCTTGTCATAATCGGTACAGTCGTTTCAGAAATTAGCAATAAGAAACAGACAGACAGATAAAAATATATATATATATATATATATATATATATATATATATATATATATATATATATATATATATATTTATCTGTCTGTCTTCTCAATGCTTATGAAAGTATATACTGTAAGTACAGTAGAAGAAGCTGTTAATTTGAAAGTACACTTCGATTACGTTTATTAGTATAGATACATCCTGATAGACCTTATAATAAACCTGTGTGTAAAGTCTATGGATATTAAAATGCCTCAGTATTATCAAGTAAACTAAGTAGCTACTCTATGTCGCTAACACAGAGTTTTTTTTTATGGATGATAATGGATGATGCACCCGCCTCCGCTATCGACTTACGCAGGCGGGGCATCAATGGAGGATGATAGGATGAGCATGAGGTCAACAAATTCATCAGAAATGTATCAAGATGGCGTCCAAAGGGAACCGCGTAGAGGTCAACCTGATATGGGACATTGCTAGCAATGGGGTCAAAAGGTCACATTACTAACAATACCCTTCCCCCCACAAGACAGAGATATATGACGTTGTACGAAGTCTAGACTGGTATATACAATCCATATAGACTTTATAATATGTAACTGGAAGCCGGAAGGTGTAAGAAGACAGTTATGAGAGTAATTTAATTGCAATATTAATTCAAATGGAAGGTCGAACGTGTGAAAAGGCACTTACGTAAATCGATTTCGATTCGATTAAGCGGCAGATATATAACATTTATAAGGAGTTCTGTAGCGCATTAGAGATGTTTGCAGCATCGCGGATAGATGGCTTTGATGCCATAATTCGGAATAGAACTGCATTAATAATGTATATGGAAGAGCGCAAACAGCTTCTTAAACAGCATAGCAAATATGTCGGATTGTCCAATCCAGAGACATTGGACTTCATTGCACTATTGCAGATCCAGTGCTTCTGGATGTGGATATAGACATAGATACACGAATATAAGTACCTACATGTATACAGAGATATTAAATTTATAATTACAAATTATATATACATAACTTAATTCTACAACAAAGAAACTCCAATTAAAAAACCTTAAGTATAACATAATAACTGAAATATATTATTAAAATAAATATATTGTCCCATTCGGTGTCGAGACCCTTGGTCCGTGGGGTCCAAGCGCTATAAGACTTTTTAGTTACATAACAAAAAGGTTAGTCGATATCACAGAAGAACGAAGAGCTGGCAGCTACCTCGGTTAAAGAATTAGTCTAGCCATTCAAAGGGGGAACGCTGCCAGTATCTTAGGAACTTTGCTCCTCCTAATAATAAAAAGGGACTCCTATTAATGATACACGAATTTAAAGTTTATAAGTTGTATATATTATATAGCAGCTTTTACACGCGGTTTCGCTTGCATTTTTTAAATAAAAAGTATCCTATGTTCATTCTAATACCTCCAAGAACATGTGTACAAAATTTCATGATGATCGGTTCAGTAGTTTTTGCGTGAAAGCGTAACAAACATCCATACATTCACATTTATAATTTTAGTAAGGATGTATATATATATATTAAACTAGCTGTTCCCGCAACTTCGATCGCGTAGAATTTAACTTTATTTGTCTAAAATAAAAGATTTTTTTCTAAAATAAAAGTAGCCTAAGTTACTCCCTATTACATCAGCTACCTGCCAAAAAAAGTCCCGTTAAAATCGGTCCAGCCATTTCAGAGATTATCCGGAACAAACAGACCGACAGACAGACAAAAATTTTAAAAAGTGGGTTTTTGGTATATGTACCGTATTTATATTGATATGCATGTAGTAAAAATCGGTTATTTCAATATTACAAACAGACACTCCAATGTTATTTATATGTATAGATGAATAAAATAAATAGTCGTTTGTATTATTCTATAAATTTTTCCTATAATTATTTCCAGCTATCAATTTAATGTCTGTGAAATTAAATTCTAATCCCCTTTTTGTATCAGCGGATAAACAGCTTAAATATTCAATATTGAACTCGATTAATTCACCATCGTTTCTCTTAATTAATGGACTGCCATTTTGTAATAAGAATATTGTAGCTACATTTCATTTTAATGTAAGTTGAAATCCATTGAAATGCATGGTAGGCGGATGTCGAGGCGTAATCCGAGACCACACTAGGGGAATTTGTGTATGGTACCTTATAAAGTTTCACCCACGAGGAATTTGTGTGTTTATGTTTGTATTTTGTGCACAGTAGTGTCTAACACATATCGCACACATTTTTGGGATTTTGACTTTAATATTTTAACATAAGGGTCGGCAATGCGCACTTGATACAGACGTTCATGGCTACGGTAACCGTTTACCATCAGATGGGCCGTATGCTTGATTGCGACCGTCGCAATATAAAAACAGAAAACTTTAAATTAGATTCCAAAATTTTTACTTTATGTAATTGGAATGGCAAACAAGATGATTTCCCACCTGATGGTAAACGGTAGCCGTTGACCACATACATGATCAGCACTACGGACGTCTCGTTATCATGTGACACCCGAGCTACCACTCCTGCGTTGTAATCCAGCGGACTAAGATATCCTGCATTTTATCCTGCAATTTTACTGCCTATTCGCATTCTACAATCGAAACACAGCTTACAAAGCAAGCTGCTTAGCTGAAATAGGTGGACTGAGGATGCTGACGACTTTTGAAGTCTACCTCTAATAGATTGCAAAAAGTCTATTTTTGAAAGTTGTCTTTACACATACGATGTTTCACGCGCTAATAGGACTTCATGCAGAAAAAAAAGTGCATGTAAATGTGAACAAAGAGAACAAGAAAAACCGTGCGCCGCCAGCAAGCGCACGTGCATCAATCGTGCGTGCTTTAGCGCATATTGTAATAATTAAGGATGATTGCAAAATGGCGTATGAATGCATAATAAAAAAAAGATAATTGAATAATCTAAAATGTTATTTAGGAAAACAAAAAATAAATATTTAAAATAAAGTAAAATGATATGATTCATACGCGCATGACGTGCGAAAGAGCGAACACAAAAATAGTGAAATGGATTCCCTTATGAATGCGGGCGTTGCTTTTCCCGCGCTAAATAGCGCACGCTCCTGATCGCTCGTGAAAGGACGTGTTGTATAAAGCTACCTTATGCAAACCGCATAAGGTAGCTTTATACAACATGTCCTTTCACGCGCGATTGTTAAATGTTACTTTAAATGGAATCCCTCACATTTGCGCACGCTAACATTACCGTGGTACTATAATTACCGCGTGCTCCAGATCGCGCGTGAAAGAGCGTGTTGTGTAAAGGCACTTTATGCGATTTATTGTTATAATTTAGTTTAAATGGAAGCCTCACATTTGCGCGCGCTGGCCTTCCCATGCTAATTAGCGCGCGCTCTTGATCGCGCGTGATAGAGCGTGTTGTGTAAAGCCACCTTATGCGATTTATTGTTAAATGTTACTTTAAATGGAATCCCTCACATTTGCGCACGCTAACATTACCGTGCTACTATATTTACCGTGCGCTCCTGATCGCGCGTGAAAGAGCGTGTTGTGTAAAGGCACTTTATGCGATTTATTGTTAAAATTTAGTTTAAATGGAAGCCTCACATTTGCGCGCGCTGGTCTTCCCGTGCCAATTAGCGCGCGCTCTTGATCGCGCGTGATAGAGCGTATTGTGTAAAGGCACCTTATGCGATTTATTGTTAAATGTTACTTTAAATGGAATCCCTCACATTTGCGCACGCTAACATTACCGTGCTACTATAATTACCGCGCGCTCCAGATCGCGCGTGAAAGAGCGTGTTGTGTAAAGGCACCTTATGCGATTTATTGTTAAAATTTAGTTTAAATGGAATCCCTCACATTTGCGCACGCTGACATTGCCGTGCTACTATATTTACCGCGCGCTCCTGATCGCGCGTGAAAGAGCGTATTGTGTAAAGGCACCTTATGCGATTTATTGTTAAAACTTAGTTTAAATGGAATCCCTCACATTTGCGCGCGCTGGCCTTCCCATGCTAATTAGCGCACGCTCTTGATCGCGCGTGATAGAGCGTATTGTGTAAAGGCACTTTATGCGGTTTATTGTTAAAATCTAGTTTAAATGGAATCCCTCACAAGTGCGCGCGCTAGCTTTCCCGTGCCAATTAGCGCACGCTCTTGAATGCGCGTAAAAGATCGTGTTGTGTAAAGGCACTTTAAACGATTTACTGTTAAAAGTGCGATATGTATTGTGTTCAAGAATATTATAGTAGCAGAGCACTAATTTGTTTTGTGAACTTAATTTTAGTGAACTAACGGCATTATGTGTGGTGTTGATGAAATGTCGACATTTACACTTGGTTTTGAATTAATTTGTCTAGTGATTCACTGTTTTGTATCAAATAAAATGTAGGCTTTATATACCAACACAAATTCGCACCTATATATTATTATATATATTAATTTTGTGCTTAGAGTAATGTTCATATTTAATATTGAAATGTGATCGATGTTGGCTTCTTTGTTATATATTCCAGTAATAATAATTTATTAATTTGGTAGAATATGGTATTAAAAATTTCTGTTCATTATATCCGCATCGTCGTGGAGATCTTTGGGGGAGGCCTATGTCCAGCAGTGGACGGCTTCTGGGCTGCGATGATGATGATGATGATATCCGCATGTTTTCGCTCGCCCGTGGGTCTCGACGGTCTAGCGGTTTGGACACCACCTTACTTCCGATGGTCGCGGGTTCGATTCCTCATACAGAACATTTGTATTTATGAGTATGATTGTTTGATAAATGTATTTTAGTATTTATGTCAGTTGTCATAAACATTAAAATACACAACACGAGTTCTTCTTAGCATTTAGACTAATCTACTCTAAATGCTCAGTGTGAATTGTCCTGGGTTTTTTATTAATAAACTAGCTGTCTCGCGACTTCGTCCGCGTGGTTATTTACCTTTATTTTTCTAAAATAAAAGTAGCCCAAGTTACTTTTTATTACATCAACTAACTGATACAGAAAGTCTCGCCAAAATCGGTCCAGCATTTCAGAGATTACCCGGAACAAACAGACAGACAGACAAAAATTGTAAAAAATGTTATTTTGGTATATGTACCGTATTTATATTTCATCGGTTATTTCAATATTACAAACAGACACTCCAATTTTATTTATATGTATAGATATACGACACCAATAATGCATCTAACTACCCCATCTGGGATAACAGTCGTACAGAACTGCTTACATCGTCTTTCTCTATGTAAATATATCTGAAAATATCTCATAGTTATGACTATTCATAGAAACAAATACATATATTACAATAATATAACAATTTATATACAACACTGCATTATTACACGAGTTTGATATTCATGAAAACAGAAATATGGTGGAACATATTCGTAATGCTTCTCTATGCATTATCTTGATAAGTTTCATATAAAAATGTTCAGCCAAGATCGATGACGTTTCGATGGCGTAATGTATGCATAAGTTAGCTTGAATATTATATACTAGCTACTCGCCCCGGCTTCGCACGGGTGTGCATGTATTATGTGTATAAACTTTACTCCTGAATCACTACAAAATTAATTGCGTAGTTTTAAAGATTTCAGTATACATAGGGACGGACTGACAGCGACAGCAACTTTGTTTTATACTATGTCTGTAATGTACGAGTATATATATCTAACATCGCAAAATATTGTTTTGCTATATAAAATAAAATTGCTATTAAAAATAGGGGTTGATGGTAGAAGGGTGAAAATTGGGGGTTGTATGTATCATAACATTACAAAAAAAAAACATATAACATTAAAAAATAAATGTTACACGTAAAAGTAAATGTTCACACAAAGTTTAATATTCATAAAACAGTAGAAATGTAACTAGATTAATCTTGATAAGTTTCATATAAAAATGTTCAGCCAAGATCGATCACGTTTAGTGTAATGATAAAAGTAGTAATGACATAGTACTTTTTATTTTGTTTTATGATTACATTAGCTTGAATATTGTAGTATGTGTAGTATATGTAATATATATATAATTAAAAAATATATTTTTAAGTCACAATTTTTAATAAATATATAAAATTTTAAAATCTGTATATAATTATTTAATTTATATTATTGTATATGTTTGCACATTGTTGTATGTAGTATTACTTGCATGTATTAAATATTAATAATATACAAGGTTAATTAGAAAATAGGCAAATCAGTCGGTCAGTTTGAATCAATTCAAATTAATTTTATTTGTTTTGGAACTTTCGTATCGTCCAATACTCTACGAAACTAGTATGTGTACAGTTTTCTGATGTGATTATATATATATGATAATTTCAATATCAGACCGGTCTATTAGATTTAGTTTCAACCGTAAAACGAAATGTTGAAATCATTTCGTTTTACGTTTTTTTTTTAAGAAAATTTTTAACCAGAGTAATAAGGGATATACAAAATAAGCAAATTGAATTGATTCAAATAATTGTTAATTGTTGATATGACTTGAGAATTTAAAGAGAGATGTAAAAAATAGAGACATTTTTTATTATTATGTATTTGTTGATACGACTGATTGACTGATTTTTTTAAACCTTGTTAGCACTTTATGATTGTTAAAATGAGTTTATAAAATAATTTGGTACTTTTCATTGAAATTTATTTTTGTTTACTGATTATTAAGTATTTAATTATTAAACCGTATTACAAAAGATTAAAAATAATACAGTAGTAAATGAAAGAATAATTACATGAATTTATTACTGGCTGTTATCCGCGACTTTGTCCCCGTGGATTTTTTTTTTATTAAAATAAAGTGGCTAAAATAAAAATTGGCCAATTACTCCTTGTGATATTAGCTATCTAAGAGATTAAATCTCAATAAATAAGGTCCAGCTATTTCATAAATAGCAAGAACATACAGATAGGTAATAGAATTTTATCAAATATTTTTTAGTATAAGTAAGGTAATTTGAAGTTACAATTATACATTTAAGTTTCATTACCTAAATATATGATAGAGTCTCAAATTATTTATAATTATTTCTGTTCTAATTTATATAGTGGTTAATAAAAGTGTTTAAATTAGTTTTACCGACTATAAATAACAGTAATAACAATGGTATACGTGTTTGTTGATTGTCTTCCAGGCGGATCTGTTTGCAGTTGAGATGTTGAACGGCTACGTTTATGTTCATGTCGATCTGGGCTCCGGTGGTGTGAGGGTCAGAGCTTCTAGGAGGCGAGTCGATGACTCCCATTGGCACGACTTCACGATGAGAAGAAGTGGACGAGATGGAAGGGTGACGGTGGATGGCGCTAATGCCGAGTTTAAAACTCCTGGTAAGTTAAAATATATTAACTATTAACTTGACAAAACTAATATAGACAGATATTTTGTCCATTTAACTTTCTAATATATATGTATTTGAGAGTTGGATGACAAAATATCTGTACTGTAGTTACAGTACAGATATTTTGTCTTTATTATACAGATTTTGGGCTCTTCATTTAAGTTATTTATAGATATTTTAAAAGTTTGTAAGGACTGTCTGCTTTTTCCTTATTTCTTAATGAAAATTTTGTATTTTAAAATACATTACTTAATTTGCAGGTGAATCGAATCAGTTGGAACTAGATGGGCCCCTATTCGTGGGTGGTTTAGGTTCAGAATACTCTGCCTCGAGGACGCCCCCAGCTGTTTGGACGGCAGCCTTGAGACAAGGGTTCGTAGGATGCCTTCGAGATCTGGTGTTAAGTGGAAAGCCACAAGATCTAAGCGCCTACGCTCGGCAACAGGATTCAGGTAATTTTTTGTGTAATTCTGGTATATAAACTGAGGGCGCGTCTGGTGGTTAATGGCAAGAATGAAGTCCTACGGACAACATGTGATGCTTCTAATGAAACTCTCATCACCTTACTGCAGTCCACTGCTAGAAATAGGTCTCTCCCAAGGCACACCATGGGACGATCTGGATCCCATATCAGGAAATATCGGAAACTCAAAAAAATTAAAATGTGGTATAATCTCGAGATTTTTACTAATTAAACGTATAAATATTGACTGCGTCAAATTTAAAACAGTAGATCTGCATCCCTTCTCTGCCAGTTATTAAAAGTCTAGCGTGAATGTGCGTACGTGTAAATGTAGCTATTTGTTACATTATTGTATTACGTTCAGACATTTGTACGTATTCCAGCACTGCCAGTCTATATATATTTTACTCTATTTTCATTTCTTCTTCACTTTCTTCTACAGCAGCAGTCCGCCCAGCTTGTCATGTGAATCCGAAGTTTTGCGTCAATTCTCCATGTCAGAACGGAGCTGAATGCGCTGAAGGTTGGAACAGGCCTCTGTGCGATTGTTCCACTACAAATTATGGAGGTCCAACTTGTGGTCGAGGTAAGACTCAATCCTATAATCTTTTTTTTTTTTATAACACAGGGGACAAACGAGCATGCGGCTCACCTGATGGTAAGTGATTACCGCCGCCCATAAGCACCCGCAACACCAGGGGATTTGCAAGTACGTTGTCGGCCTTTTAAAAAGGAATAAGCTCTTTTCTTGAAGGTTTCAATATCGTATCGGTTCGGAAATACCATTGCTGGAAGGTGATTCCACAATGTGGTTGTGCGAGGCAAAAGTTTCTAGAATCCTGTAAAAAGTTCCTGTAATCTCATCTAATGTCAAACTTCGGTAGGATCCTGAGCTAAGTATGAGAAGTTAGACGCAATATATGTGGACCGTAACACGTTATATGATGTAAATGTTATATAGATGAAATAATTAATAAATGTATATAGTATTAGAGACCGACGATGACCACTTCTTCAACTACATCAAAAAAGTTGCTATTTAATGGCTATAAAAAATTATAAATAAATCTCCCGTCACTATACAAAATAAAATCATGAATTCTTTTAAATACCAAAAAATCTATTAATTATCCAACTTCGAAAAAGCTGGCTAATTGATAGATTTTTCCACACGATAAAAGAAATTTCGTCATCATGCAATGTTGCATATGTAATTATATAATTGTATTAATTTCAGAGTCTCCAACCATTTTTCTCAATGGCAGCCAACACCTCACAGCGTCACTAGGACCTGAACACATCACGCAGACAGAGGAATTAATGTTACGGTTTAGAACTAATCGAGCTGGGTTACTAGTACGGACAGCATCGGAACATTCAGCTGATAGGATTGAAGTGGCGGTTGCTGCAGGAAGAGTCCGAGCTAGTGTAAGGCTGGGAGATCGTGAGAAGGTATAATATAAATAGATAAAATTAAAGTAAATTCTTAATTTATTTACCCAGATAAAAGCATTTATCGATGTGCGAATTTCGTCCGCTACATTTGTCATGCTCAAATTTCTGTCTATATTTGGATTCAACGTAGCAACTCAAGAGCCTGTAGCCGTCTCTCGGATTAGTCTGAAAGGATCTTATGAAATTTGACGTGTAGGTAGATGGTATTACGATTTTTGTATCAACATCCAGACCGAAGCAAACAATCATACTCATGAATGCAAAAGTCTGTATCGTATGAGGAATCGAATCTGCGATCATTAGAAGTAAGGTGGAATGGAAATCGCTTGATAAACGAGGCCATTATGTAACGTATATATATATATCCAAAAAAAAAACAAGATCCTCCTTTCTTCAAAGTAAGATAATGTCTCTAATAATGCAATAAAGCATTGCAATTATCTTCCAGAATCTATTAGCGGGTACGAACGTGGCAGATGACAATTGGCACACGGTTAGGTTCTCACGACGAGCCTCAAATTTAAAGCTGCAGGTGGATGGGGCGATGCCAGTACGCGGTATGTTATGTACGTATGCACGGGACAGCACCCGCACACTTTTATTTTGACCCCAATGTAGTGGACTATAAGGTTGGTTTTGATTTGACTCTGTTAGCGAATTTTATTAAAAGCTAATATTATTGAAAGTATATAATTTAAAAAAGCATTGAGTTCATTAAATAAATATCTAATTAATATGTGAAACAATATACAACATAAACAAAAGACAGAAGGAAAAACACGAATAATGGAGTCAAACCAAATTTAATTTCTTAAGAACTTTCATACACTGAAATTCATTTGAACATTACAAATGAGTTTGGTGGGAAGCTTTTCAAAAGGAATATTATTTTTGAAAAGTATATCGTTGGTGTTAGATGTCCTATTAGATATGTAGAATAGTGGCTTAGTTTTGGTTGAATTTAATAGTTGGCACTTGGTATTTCCACCTTTTAGTTGAATGCCCTTGTTTCTTACTTTATATTAATTTCTTTCTCCTGTAGTGTCCTCTGTGAATGTGTTACTACTTACTGTATCAATTTCATTTTGTACTTGTCCTGTTCAGATTTTAGTGATTAATCTAGGACAGGACAGGTCATCGTAAACAGGTAAAAATATGATTGTTTTAGTAGTACGTTTATCAAGATGCGTAGGATCTGTGGCGGAATTGTTTTCACTGCTGGCAATTATAGAATCTGTAAACACAATTTCTTCTAGTTAGACGCTAGGATGTATGGAATTGTTGATACTTGTTATTTGAAGCTTAATTCTATTCATACTTATATTTAGAGATAGAGAAGTGCTATCAAAATGTACATAAGTAATTATAAATGATTGCTGTTAAGAGTATGTAAAAGTAATTTCTTTTGCTAATTTATTTTTATTTTGATGTCAATGTTGTGATAGGTGTGATCATTTGATACTTCTACATGATAGTTATGAGAATGTGTAATTTGTATTTCAGCTGAAACAATATTAGGTAAAGCTTCCACATTGGAAATATCAACGTTACATCTAGGAGGCCTTTATCACCCAGAAGAAGAAATACAGATGACTTCAACTTTACCAAATTTTGTGGGTTATATGCAGAAGTTTGTATTCAATGGAATAAGATACATAGATCTGTCAAAAACTTTAGGCATTGGTAGTGATGACGAAACCAACCATATATATGACACTTCTAATATAATATTTACTGGGAAATTTATGAAAGCCGATGCTTTAAATATTTATAAATCTGTTACTTTTAAATCGAAACATACGTATGTAGGTTTGCCATTATTGAAAGCGTATGGTAGTACATATCTAGATTTTTACTTCCGTACAACTGAAATGGATGGTCTATTATTTTACAATGGTGGAAAGAAACAAGATTTTATAGCTGTGGAGTTGGTAAATGGTCATGTTCACTGTGTGTTTAATCTTGGAGATGGTGTTGTTACTATGAAGGATAAGTTGAAGAATTTCCTGAACGACAATAGGTGGCATTCAGTATCTATTAGACGACCAACGCCGAAAATACATACTTTGCAAGTCGATGAAGATTTGGAAATGCACACAACGGGTAAGTTTAAAAATAATGTTTTTAAGCATTATTATATCATGGATTTATGAAGAAAAAGGTTATTCTGCAGTTGTGGAAGATGTATGGATAGGAACTGCAAAAGCTCAGGAGGGCATTGTCGATCAACCGCAGGACCACCAGTGATCTGCCCAAACCTAAAATAAAAGATCTCCTAATAGAAAAAAATTAAATAATATGAATTGAAAAATTCGATACTACGACTATAAAATAAAAATTGAAAAATGTTGAATAATATGAATTGAAAATCATTTATTTAAATAAACTTAATTTAAGCACTTTTGAATAGTCAAAACAATTTGTTTTTATCTACTACTCGTTTGATAAATGTCATCACAAGAAGAACGAGAACTTGTGTGAAGCTTTTTTAAATAATTTAAGTTTACATTTAACATTTGAATACAAACCACCAACAAGCACTAATTTTTTGGGTCAAATTATATTAAGATTAAATCTGTTTTAGACCTACAAACCACTCGTTCACGAGTATGTTGAATTGAATGTTGTAATTTGAAATCAATATTTAATGAATGAAAAATGAAACATGCACCTGATTATATTTAGTATCTGTTTTAACTAAACGTGTAGAGCTTAAGTAATATTTTATTATTGTTCACATATAAATTGTTTGCTATGTTATATTTCAGGTTCAAATTTAATGTTAGATTTAGACAGTATTCTGTTTGTGGCTGGTGTACCGAGGGATATGTACTCTTCATTACCTGTAGGAGTGATATCTCGACAAGGGTTCGAAGGATGTATTTCAAGTTTAGACTTACCTGGAGAATCTCCTTCATTGACCGATGACGCTATTGTGCAAAGTTCTTCTATAGCATCTGGATGCGAGGGTGAGATTTGAGCAGTATTTATTTTACTAACAATTAATAAACACAGCATGTATTTTATGTTGTGTTTCGCTTAAAGGCTAAGATATAGCAGTGAAGAAAGGTTTGGGGGTATTACACCTTAGTCATCCGTTATAGCAACGTATGAGTGCTATCATGAAGACGTCATGTACACGATGCTGCTCTTGTATATAGGCGTCAATTACAACACACCATGCCGTGTGCATGTGTCTGCTGTTAATTAATGCCAGATATTTAACTAACTCTCAATGAATAAGGTTCAAAGAAAATAACAATCGAATTGATAAACTACTCCTTTATTTAACTCAGTCAAAAACTGCTATTCCTGTTGCTTCCAGGTCCAACAAAATGCACGCACAATGCGTGTTCAAATAAGGGTGTATGTGTGCAACAATGGAATACATACGTTTGTGACTGTGATCTCACCTCCTTCACCGGACCCACGTGCTACGATGGTATTTTCATTTTAATAATTAATGTATTATATATTAAAGTAGACGAAAATTTTGATATAAAAGAGTAAAAATCATCCATTCATTCATCTATTCTTCCATACTCACATACTTTGAAGTAAGTTTGAAGTAAGATCAAGAATTTGTATTTGTACGCAAACTGCGTACACGACCTCTGCTTTACCTAATTAAGTATGGAAGGATAGATGGATGGATGTATTTTATTGTTTTATATAAATATTATTGTAGGGCGTGTAATGAAATTATATAGTAATATGGCTTGTACATCGGAATAACAAGAAACGGAAACTCGGAAACTCACAGGCTATAAATCTCATACGTATGAAGCTGCGGGCACAATTTGCAATATTTGTTGATCTAAATATGGATTATTTAGATCCGAAAACGGTCAGAATTGTATATAGAAAGTAAATTATTGTGATATAGTTAATGGGATTCTTTTTAAATGAAATTTCAGAATCAATAGCATACGAGTTTGGTCCAGGCCGAGGTATAATCACGTACACATATCCGACCAGTTCCGTGGTAGATACTGAAACGGATAAGGTTGCTCTTGGATTTGTTACCAGTAAGGCCGACGCAGTTTTGCTAAGAATTGAATCTTCCAACACCCAGGATTATATGCAGATGGAAATTGTAAGTATTTTTTTTACCGCACTGATGGTATACTCTGGCAAGGGACAAGTGAAGTATGATAAGATTGATTTACCGGGAATTAACCACGGTGGTTTCCAGAGGTAACAGATCGACCTGACATAGAAAATTGTTATCAATGGGCTTACCAGAGTCCCTATTACCACAGATAAGATAATTGCTATTACTAAAAATGCCTTTCCCCCTGTAAGTATTGAGTATAAATAATTTTGTTTTCTTTTTAATCATCTGTATAATACTAATTAGAACGCTGTGAGTAAAGGTAGATTAATGCTTCAAATAGATCTTATCTAGTCAACCTATCACAGCGTTACCTAGTTTTTTTTGTTTAATGGAATTCTGCACCCGCCTGCGCTAACGGTTTACATTAGCGGGCCAGCAGTAGTCAATGATAAGATGAATATTTGGTTAGGTCAATTAGCCCAGTTATAAATTCACGAGGAATTTTTGAAGATGGTTTCTAAGGAGAACCACGTGGTAGTTAATCCAATGCGGTACATTGCTAGCAATAAGGTTATTAGTCTACATTATAACAATCTCCTTACCCCTGCGTAGAGTTGCTAGTAGTGAGTGATGTTACAGATGATAAAGTGGCGATAAAGGCCAGTTAGCCATCGTGTATACTTAATTATTAGATCCGGGCGAAACTAGGTCGAACACTAGTTTGTAATATAGTAACTGAATTACTTACATTTGTTTATTAGATTCGCGGCAACTTATTCATGGTTTATAACGTTGGCGGTGGGGACCATCCCCTCGGTGATGAAGCAGCAAGGGTTGACGATGGAGCATATCATGTAGCCAGGTTCACAAGAAACGGTAGTAGATCTGCCCTGCAATTGGATAACTACGCTGTTAATATTAGACAACCTCAAGGTATGTTGCTAATTTTCAAGCTTTGTACAGACAATCTTCTAGTTCTTACATTCCTTACAAATATAGTGATGATAGGTTTCTAGAGAAATAATATTTGTTTGTAAATTGAAAATGCGTTTTTCATCACAATAGACAAGCAATTTCTGCTGCTAATTTCGCGGTATGTACGACCGACCGCACGTCGTCTTAAAAATTGGTTTAAATGTTAAAATTAAAAACTAAATTAAAGTTATAAAAATCCAATGACAAAGTGCAAATAATCTAAATAATAAATACCATCACGACGATTTCATAACAACATCTTTATTTAATTTCAGGTGGTCAGCCGTCTACTATCTTCAACAGCATGTCGACCATCACAGTGGGCGGCGGAGCTGGCGGCTCCCGAACGTTCAGTGGTGTGATGGCCGGTTTAGTGGTCAATAGTGTGCGGGTTCTAGACCTGGCCGCCTCTGGTGACCCCACAGTGTCTGTTAGAGGCGACGCGAGGAGAGCTCACACTCCGCTGGATAGGGACATTAATAGAATGCAGCAGGTTAGCGATTTTTTTCTACAAGAAGTATTTTTAAAAGAAATGGGAAATAAGTTGACGGCTCACTACATAATAATATGTATCTTATATTTATTCGTATAGATTATTATGTACATTATGTTAATTAACTCCCATCTGTTCGTTATTTCTTAATTTTCAATTTATATTGTGTTGAATTATTACATTTAATTACTTATATATGTTGATATATGTACATCGTCTCAGTCTACATATGAAATCAAAACAAATATAATTTATTTGCTTATGAACATCAAGTTTTATGACATTTTAGTATACAGATTCTTATGAACTGATATCAAGTTATTTATGTATTAATAGCTTGTTTTTGTTTTTTTCCATCAGGGTACATATCATTCATTTATATTCTATTTCAGAGATTCATTTATCATTTATTTCTGTATAGACCATACAGATTCAATTGACAATTTCAATTTCAATAAACAAATAGGTATAAGGTATAAATAATCTTTAATAATAATAATCTGATTTTTTTTTTTAAAAGACAGGTTATTTACATCGTATTAGTACTCCTCACAGCTTGTTTTTGTTTTTTGTATGACACAACCGTAGGTTGGTGTAATCGAGTGTGTGTGTGTGTGTGTGTGTGTGTGTGTGTGTGTGTGTGTGTGTGTGTGTGTGTGTGTGTGTGTGTGTGTGTGTGTGTGTGTGTGTGTGTGTGTGTGTGTGAGTGCGAGTGATGTGTGGGGTCTGGTGATGATATAGATAACGCCGGTTTACGTATCAATAATTCTGTCTGTTCATAATCAAGTGTTAATAACCATCAAGTTGTTTTTGGCTATATGGTGTGTTTGACAATGAAAATTTATTTTTTTGTTAATTTTATTATATATATATACACACAAATGCATTAATAATTATGACAGTATAATACCGTTTAGATATACAGATGACTACTAAAATATTACTAACGGCCCCCGCTCTGGTTTTGCGAGGTATAATCTTACATTATAAATATCCTTGAAACCAGGATTACATTATTTATAATCATTTTAAAATTTATGAATTCTAACACATTTCAGTACATCGTTTTGCTCTATTGTCAACCATTTGCGAAATTATGGTTCGCATCTCCAACTTTGAAAATATTCTATCGACAATATTCATCAAGGAGTAAGGATTCTAATAATAAAAAATTTAGATGGAATAGATCTAGTAGTTTCGGAGCTTACTGAATGCAAACAAACCATTAATCAAATCTTTACTCTTTCTAATATTAGTATATACATGATCGGTTTGTTTTATGATGTATACAGGGTGACACCAGTGGTAAATTGATGAAGCCTTGCGACGACGAAGACTGCATTGAGGGATCAGGATCTAACGGTGAAGAAATCACTGAACCAGAGCATCCTATGACAACGTAAGTAGCATTGGGATTATTTCATCCATCATAATCGTGACCGAACTGTAATGCGAATAGACCAAGAAAGCAGCACCCGGCTGCTTTTTTCGTCTATTCGCGGTTTTCATATACAGTGATTTTCAATTGCGGTATTTGATTAGATGTTTCCTTTTACACAGATTGAGTATATTACAGAAATTGAATTACTTTTTCTTACCATCGCCGACATAGCTGAAAATCAGTCTTTTGCTCTTTGAGTGATTCTCCACACTGAGCTATAAGCCATTTTGTATTTCTGAGGCACAGACATGCAGTTTTACCTATATTCTATTGCATTTGATTAAATATTATGTAATGCATGTCAATTGTAATGAAGCCCATATGTTTGTACTAAGATACAAATAAAAACTCTTATAAATTCCTATCTTCCAGATCCGGAGCAAGTAGTACACACAGCATGACTTCACCGACTGTGTCCATAACGCCCACCGAACATATAGACAAGTCTCTCGAAGGTTCTACAGATGCAGCAACGGATACTACAGGGGGTAGTACAAAAAGTAGTACAGATACGCAAACTACATTACCCGATCATGATAATATGCACGCTGGCACTGTTGATAGTGCAAGTACTCCTGAGAGAAGAACAACACCGACGGATGGTGAGAATATAAAGTTTTTTGTTTTGCATAATTCACTTGAAACTAAAAATGAGATCGACTATGATCAATAAAGCGACGTCAATACTATTTTTGTTATAGATTTTTTTTGGTTCCTCTATTATTATTAGTTAATGGATTTCTTCTAATCTTGAAACTAGTTAAACAATTATCGTTAAAAAAATGTTTTGCTCAGTTATATAAATTCTTAAATATTGTATATTGCGTACATTCTATCAGAACTTCCTAGAGAAATGAGAATAAAATACAAATATAGAATAGAAAATAGATGAAAACTAATCCATAAAATCTGAATATGATACTATTTTATTGGCAACTATAATATATAATGTGATTACCATGCAAAAGAACTATGAAATGGTATTTACTACTGCATTAATCCACTGATTAACCTTACTAGAAATTGTATGTTAAAAGAACTTCGGCTAAAAGATTACTGAAACATACACTACGTGAAAGTCGAAGTATGTAGGTACTGTAAGAGATCAAATGACTTTTGTGGTATCAATAGTTTCTGGAACCAGTTTCCATGCATGCTACAAGTTAATAATTTGAATGAAGGAAACATAGATATCATCAATAAGCCACGTTGTTTTTCAGACCACACCCACACACACCATTATACCCCAACACAAACAGGCCGACACACACCAGAGGATATGACGCATACCACAGAAGAAGATACAAATCATATACCGGAATACGAAGATAGAAGAGAAAATGAGATAGAAGGAAGAACTCCGACATATGAGATCGGTATTGGGAGTGAACTAGAGAGATCAAGAGGACGCGGACATCAAGATTACAATGGATACGATATAACAACAAAGTGGTATCAACCAAAGACAACGGACAACAGAGTGGTGCCGCCGGAATCAGAGTTCTTTGCAACAATAGTTGGTTAGTAAAATAAAAATTATTATTGACGGCTTGAGTGATTTAGCTGTTTAAGACATCATCGTACTTCCGAAGGTCGTGAAATACATTTATCAACAACATTATATTATGTTTTGTTATAAAGTATATAAAGTGAACGTGGATAAATGGAAAGTTAGAGGACGACCAAAAAAGGTGGATAAATAGTGTGAAAGTTAATATGTATATAAGGAGAGGGAGCTCAGATGTGACGGCCTATAGGAATCAGTGGAAGAGGATGGCATGCTGCGCCGATCCCAAATAATAGGATAAAGTAAGACAATAATGAGTTTTCTTTTCTTACAGGTATCGTAGCTTCAGTGTTAATAGCAATAATTCTGATCGTGATCATCGTGCTCAAGTATATTGTGTTCAAACTACCCTCATACAAGGTAACAGAGGACAAAAGTTACCAACAAGGTGCTAGTGCTGCGCTGCTTGGAAATCAGGTATTTGAAGTTAATAGATCATCTAAAATATTATTATAAATGGAAATTGTAATTTTTACAATAAAAAATTACAATGTCAAGAACTACTAAACCGATATTCACAATAAAAAAAAGCCTATAAATACATTACCAAAGATGATAATGTAGCGTACATTATCAGTAAGTAGGATGGGCTGCTTGTTTTTTAAGAAGTGTTTGCATATAATTATTTAAGTAATTGATTATATACAATCGTGCGGAGTAGAGGCGAGTAGCTATTTAATAAATATGTGACAGAATATGTTACAGTCATAAACCTAATTGAAATATTGGTACAACACAACATTTTGCTGCTATTATAGACTCACAGCATTAAAATATAATATGAGCGAAGGGACAGTATTATAACGCCAGTAAAACTTATATAGATTAATGATAATGATAAAAAAAGAACAATGACGTTTGTATATAATATTTTTCTATATAAAGTAATAGACGAAGAAACATAATGATGCGACGCGTCATATATTTCTTTTTAATGTATAAAATTGTATTATAGGCACATTCGAGTTATCAGAGTGGGGCATCAAGTGGGATGACTGGTGGCGCAGTAAGAAACCTGCAACCATTACCGTTGAACAGAAATGGTACAGCACCGACCGCTCCACTCCCAACGCAGCCGGTCAAACGCGACGGTATCAAAGAGTGGTACGTGTAAGCAATGTGATGACTTCATATCAAAGACAGTAGATTTTAATGAGTGAGTGTATTCCTTAGTCGCTTGGACCCTCGATGACCTCGCAGACACCGATCTGGAGATTACAATGTCAATATGAGATGTATAAACAACGTTGATGCTATAAATGGAAAAGGACGCGTGTTTGTTGATATATAAGCAGATATGTTGCTTTATGAAATATAAGATGATAATGTAAGATGAAGTACTGACTGACTCGCAAGTGTTTAGAATTGTAAATAATAATTATTGTAATGTTATAGTGAATCACTTGTGCGAGCGGAGTTGCAATTTTAATTCAATATGTGAAATTAACGTTAATAAAATCTGGAATTGCATTTAACAAACTGTGTGTAATATATTATTAATATAGGAAAACAAATTTTTATCCGAATAACTTTATGGTAAATAAGTGTATTTGCTTCCTAGGTTCTAGAAATAAAGAAATAATCTAATTTTATTAGGGAAGATGATATAAAGTTATCATCTACAGTAATTAACAAATTTAAATAAAGTTTGTAAGCATCGGTCAGTAAGAGCACGGATACCGTGAGTACTAGGTGTTGCGATTTTGCGTCGGACAATCCGCGAATATCAATGTCCATAATGGTATTATGGACATTGATATTCGCTGTAACTCCAGTCACGGCCAGTGCAACCTAGTTGATACGTTAAGAGAGAACACCTTTATTTACCATGAAATTATTCATTTTATAACCGTTTAACTATATTAATAATGTGAATGCGAAAGTTTAAAGATATGAGTGTAATATAAATTGATATTGTTTTTATTAGTTTAACATTTACTTCACCAGCATTGGTTAGACTGTTACTTTCACCTGTGTTCTACTGTATATTGCTAACATAATGTTATGATACGTGTATATGCATGTAAACTTTTCTATCTACATTGCCTTTCATAGTTTAATAAATAACACTAAGACTAATATTAATCGGTTTTAGGCGTGTTTGTCAGTCTTCAAAATTGGACGTCGGTTTTGTCTCCAATAATTTTGCGCTTGTGTCTTTAGTGACGCTTATGATTTTAACTTCTTGTTATTTTATAAAATCTTAATAACAGATGATATTTTGTGTACATAGAAATATACGAACAAGCATTCAATGAAGTCACTGAAATTTTTGCATTAAAATAATATGAACAAAGAAACAAAGCACGAATGAACACGAAATGTTATTATTCCCTTCAATTAATTCAATTTTAATATTCGTATTCACGTGGCTACTTTGTACTTTGTCCTGCATATATGAAGTATAATTAGTGGTTGTATCATGCCACAAAATAGTACAATCACAAGCTATGTTTAGTTGAAGATAAGCAATTATTGTCGGCTAAGCCTCTAAAGCATTTCGTTAAAACTCTTGAAGTGATTTCTATGGTAAGCTGGATATATTTTTATTTGCATGTAACAAATGATTTCAAACGTCCAATTTAGTTGCCTGACTATTTGTTAATATCCTAATAAATCAAAATTGCTAATAATATTTGGGGCTGCCATCACGAAAATAAAGCATATCGTTCAATTAAAGACTACAGTAACTTTTACAATTCCAATAATCTCTCCTATATTTATTAGGTCTTATACAATATTTTATTAGGTCGGACGTGAAGCGTAGCGAGTTAAGAAATGAAATCATTATTATGAGACTAAGAACAAATCGGCTTGAATTTAGACCAAACAATTGTACATTATCGTAGAATGAGTAATATGAGCTTTTAGATTTGGTATGGATTGAATTAGATATTTGTGTTTTCTTTGCACATTTGTTCGTACAAAACCATTGCTCAATGTTTCCTAAATAATATTCTGTTCTGTAACTTATTTGAATCCTGTTAATATCAATACACCATGACAAGACACTCAACAAAAAATGGATGCAGTTATAACCTTTTGTCCATAAAAACCTAAAACCTCATGCAAACCTACTTACGGTTAAAATATATTTTCAGTTTTTTTAATTTTTAAAGACAAGGACAAAATAACGAAACAGCTGATATAAGTACATTAGAAGTTGTATCTTTTTATAAATATAATGATCTCTTTGATGAAATGCAACTTTGTATGTTATATTAATATTCCAAGCAAAAGTCTTGACAACACTTAAAAAAAGATGTTAATATTGAAAAAGCAATATATGTATATCCATGAGGTACGACTTAACAATATTTTCCTTTTTCAGATAAATCTATCAATTACTAATAAATAATTAATTCGTAATGTTAAATGGTCGCATGTCAAATTCTAATTCCGATTTGAAATGAATGGCTTCTATATTTTTACAATTAGAATATAATCGTACATCCACCGTCCCACTTTCCTCTTTCCGATTAAAAATACTTGAATTAGCTTTAAAATAGAACGAAAAAACATATTTATATAGATTGTTATAAAGCACAGGTTCTAGATAATTGAAGTTGCATTTATTGTAAATAGTTATGATGATATTGTAATGATAAGCGATATTGTACGGTGTTATCACACTCGTTTTACGGCACAAAATGTTAGTATCAGAAATTTGTTTATCTGTCAATTTTAGTGGTAACTTAATGGTTAATGTGGTTGATGATTTGTACCGTTATAGTTTTATTAATAGTAATAATATTAACGTTGTTTCCAATACGCAACTGTACTTTATTAACGATCAAGTTAAATGTTTTATTATGTATGTTCAAGATTTGATTTCGTTTTGAGATCTAAGTGCCTCTATTTTTAATTGTTGCTTTTAATATTGTTATTTCAATCGCGGTTGGTTATTTACTTGCATCTTGTAGTGCAGCGATCTATGTTATTTGCGGATAACGTATATTTCTATAAGTGAGGGAATTTTTTATATCGGTCACGTATTTTTTTGAACATTTTTTTCTTCTATTAGATATTTTTTTTGTAAATTAATTTTGATATTTTAAGTAATGTCGGTTGCGTTGTAGGAAAACAACGTGTATTACACATTTCGTTTGTTGTACCATATTTAACTGAAGTTGTTATTCACTCGACTTCGGTCGGACCAAGTTCTTTTTTTCATGCAAAAGTGACAGTTTTTGAAATAATAATATATTATGTAAATTATATGATTCTGTAGTTTTATTTTTATACTAGCTGACCCAGTAAACGATATTTTGCCATATGAATAAATATTGCTATTCAATATAGGGATGGATGCTAGAAGGGTGAAAATTTACGGTATGATGTATTTTCTCATGCCTAACCAAAAAAATTTAAATAATTGATTTAGTCCAAAAAATAAAAAAATATTGTAACCCACCCTTATAACTTAGCGGTATACATATAAAATTTCATCAAAATCGGTCAAGCCGTTTGAGGAGCATTATAGGAACTAACACTGCGACATGAAAATTTTATAATTAGATTCGTCAACACTACATATAATGTCAACGATTGATCATTCTTATTTTTATGTATTTGTGTTGGTAAATAAGCTGACTTCTTATCTGGTGGTTATTGGCAACTGATATGCGCACACTGCCATATGTCAATCTCTTACCGAAAAATAGCTCACAAAGCACGCCTGGCTGAAATAAGTGACATAGAGATATCCACGCAGGTGATTTGTACCTGTGGTAAATATTGGATACAGAATTGCCACGGCAGCATCGTCAGTTGTGGTAATTTTTAGTCGCTAAATTGTCAACGAGCATCATACGTGGTACGGTGGTGGGGTACAGGTAAAAATCAAATCAAATGAGTTAAAAAATATTTGATTGGCTGTCCTCCACCGTGCGTTTTTCCAGAAACTTTTTGCCACACACAATGTGGTTACACTGTGAAATCACTTTCCAGCAATAGTATTTCCGAACTGATACGATAAATCTTTAAGAAAAAGGCTTATTCCTTTTTAAAAAATACCGGAACGCACTCGCAATTCCCCTGGTGTTGCATCTTGCACTTAGCATCAGGTGAGCCACTAAGTCGTGTGTCCCTATACTATGGAAAAAACATACATGTAGGTGGAAATGAAAGTAATTTTTTCTATTAATATCATAGTTTAGTTTAAATATTCAATTGAGAAGAAAAGGCAAGAAACTCGACTGAATATCTATTTATTTAAAGCTCGTTTGTTAACATTGTTTATTATTTATTAGAAAAATTACATAATTCACGGACGTGGTACTGTACCTGTTCATGTCATTTTACCTACCTGTTCGATGTTTCAATCCGTTTCCCTAAGGTTGCCTTGAAAAGATTGCTTTTAGCAATGGCTAAACTTGTCTACTGTAGCTATTTTCATAGCATTATGTAGTATTATTATATATTTTGCAAAAGCGGGTCATCCGCTCCTTTTATGGTATGGGTTCCAAGGAAAGTCCTTGCGAGAGTGCTTTAAGGAATTAAATATCCTAACAGTTGCTTTTAAATACATTTACGATAATATCCTGTATACCAGGACAAATATTGTTAGTTTCAAAAATGTTAGCAATTACACTAATTAAAACTTACGTAAACTGGTTTTATCTAAGTGCCGTTTAAAGAAAGTTTGTAATTCATTGTATGGGAATTTTTAAGTAACAAACTGCCAGGGTATATTTTCAATGTGTCAGAAAAAGATTCAAATGTTTTTCTTTGTAAAAAAAGCTTATTATGTAGGTATATGAAAGATAATAACGTTTTTGTAGAAAATAATCTAATTTAAAATTTATAGCGCTGATAGTTTTATCTGATTGCATAAAGATTAAGTGTGTAGCGGTTTCTATGTTGATTGTCATGCCTCATGCCTAATCTTTGTTAATGTGTATATACTTAGAACAACATTTATTTAAAAGAGCGAAACACAAATTTCTTCCTCATTGATTTTGTGATGAGTCTGCTTCCGAATGAGTGGTAGAATAATAAAATATGACTATTCGAACGACGCGACACTAAGAAAAACTAAATATTGACGAGTACATTATTACAAGAAATAATTTTTTAATGTATAATAAATCGCGTTGAATAATGCTACTCATATAATTATTGTGGAATACAGGCCACTTATTTAGTTTATAACCCATTTTATATGCTTTATACTTCGAATACCAAAATTCTATTCTTAATTGTCACCGCTATCTTGTTCTTTTCGGTTTCCCTTCCTGGCCCTAGTTTGTAGTGTTGTTTTATAATATACAATATATATATCCTACAATTCCCTGGTTTCCTTTATCGCCCACAATTATGATTGAACTTCACTTGGTAAGTTCGTTTGATCTTCAAAATCTATCCTATGCTTGGATTTTGCAACCGTAAAATGGTCCATAGGGATAGTAGATTTTAATCTGTTTCGAATGAATATTATTAGTACCAGCTTTATGGTTAATACTAAGAGTGCATAAATTGTAAGGAGACCGCAAGACGACTGTCTACAACTGTGTGTGGATGTAATTTCAATTAAACTTTTAAGAGAGCAGAAAAGCAGACAGGTGACATTGTCCCCTCCTATCGATCCCAATTCAAACGGGGGTCGAAATATGACGGCCTGAGCCGAGGTTCGAAACCCTAGCGGTGCCCTCACACTAAAGTCGTATCCGTTAGGCGGGAGTTGGGCTTCAGCCGCTCCACTAGTCCTTCTGCGGGTTTAGAGTGCCATCTGCACTCGCCCCCTATCGTCCGGTGAAACTGTAAAGGCCAGCTGTGTCCAACCGCATTAGAGTAGTCCGAAAAAGAAGGTGACTTTGTCATAAATTATGTGCAAAAATAGATTCTATTTTAAACAACAAATAATGTGGAATCTTAATCGTATATTTATAAACATCAACTGTTATATATACATACTATGAATTATACACATTCTATGAAATTTTATCTTCAATTATTCATCATTTTTCCGTTAAACCGCATAGCTATTAATTTAACAAACAGGTACTCGTTTTTACTGTGATTTGAAATGAAAGATCATGGACATCATTGCATAGAAATAATTGGAAAATTACCGCAATTTAATCATATTAAAAAGGTCAAAATAGACGATCAGAAGTTGTGTGCTGTAAAACTATCACAACCCTATGTACAAAAAAATCAAAACCTACATTTATTTTTGTGTTTGTCTGTGCTTTGTGTGCTTTACGGTTTAACCGATTTCAATGTGGATTTCACTGATATTGCAGGCTTCTCTTATATGTTATAAGAGAATGTTTCGTGTCTAGTTCACGCCAATGGGTTACTTAGGTTAATATATTATAGACTATCTGTGCTCGCAATTTCACCCGCGCTGAATTTCAATAAAAAATATGGCATATATATTATTCTGATATCAGAAACATTCATACTCACACACTTTCGCGTTTATAATAAGATAAGATTATTAGATTTTTTTAATGGAGTTTTAGTAGGTGTGTTAATATTGCTATTAATTGGTTTTTTGTACAACAATATATCTTTTTTGTGACCGGACAAAGAAACTGACGGCATGTTCCAAAACACTTTAATCGAAATATAACTTTAAAAGCATGCTGCTTAACGGCGGCTATATGTAAGTCAGATATACTTAGACATACGTAGACGACTTTGTATAAATTTGATTAAAGTATTCATATTTTAAAATCACAACAATTGAGTTTTAGTTCACTTCTTTTTAGATCAGTAATAAACAATGGTAAAAGTAGCAGCTCGAATAAAAAGTTTCTTACCTCTGGCTCCATTTTAAAAATATCAGTGCTCACTTTATTTCCTATTGAGTTTCACGTTCGCTTTAGCAGGAAACGAATGCAATGAGATGTGCATCAAAAATGTATTACGCTATTTACTGTATGCGCTGTTTATTTTTGTGGTCACAAGTGAAAATCCACTAACGACATCTGGAAATTCTGCGCAAATAGTAAAAACAGCGGAATGCGTTTTAAAACTGTCCGCAAAATATTTTGTGGAGAAGAAAGCTCTCAGCGGCAGCATTGTAATAATCAATATTAATTCTTACGCTTCAACAACACAAGTGCTATTATTGAAAACCATCCACAGTGGCATGAAGTATTCAATTATGGTCAAAGATTCTTTCTATCCGCACGCTAATGCGTCGCATTTCCCCGAGAAAGCTAAAAATTATATGCTGATTTTGGAAGAAAAATCGGAGTTGGAAAGAAACATACTGCAGTTGAATAAATTGCCCACTTGGAATCCATTAGCGAAAGCAATAGTTTTCTACCAGTTGAAGGATAGCGAGAGCGCCGAGGAAACGTCTATTCACTTTATTAATGAACTTCGCAACTACAAACTTTTTAAAAGTATTATTTTCATATATTCTCCTAACGCAGACGAAGTAGTTTCATATACTTGGAAGCCTTACGATGACAATCACTGTGGTGGGAAATGTGAGTCTGTTTACATTTTAGACAGATGCAAGGATAATGTTATACATGAATTTGAAACACAAAAGGAAATGTTTCCTTTGGATATGAAAGGCTGTCCATTATTAGTGTACGCGGTAATCTCTGAACCATACGTGATGCCCCCAATACGAAAGAGTATTATCGCAGGGAACAATGATTCATACGAGTTTGATAGAGGCGCAGAAATAAACTTAGTAAAAATCATTAGCCAATTTAGAAACATGTCATTAATTATAAAAATGTCTGAAACTAAAGAAAACTGGGGAACTATAGAAGTTAATGGATCGGCAACAGGTGCGTATGGGGTGTTGAGAAACGACGTGGTAGATTTAATTATAGGCAATATAGAAGTCACAAGAACTATCCGAAAGTGGTTTCATCCCACAATCAGCTACACACAAGACGAAATGACTTGGTGTGTGCCCAAGGCTGGCCGGGCGTCTACTTGGAATAATTTAGTAACAATATTCCAATGGTCAACGTGGATAGCTACGTTTATCAGTCTGATAGTAATGGGACTGGTTTTTCATTACTTTTACTATAGGGAGAACAACAGAAAAGTCACTAAATGGCCTACAAATTCCTTGCTGATGACTTTCAGTATGTTACTAGGCTGGGGATCATCATTTGAGCCAAAAAGTGGAACGTTCCGCATCTTAATCTTCGTTTGGCTTCTCTTCAGCGTAAACATGGGGATTTCCTACGAATCGTTCTTGAGAACTTTCTTAATGCACCCGCGATTTGAAAAGCAGATAAGCACCGAAGCGGATCTTATACAGTCTGAGATTCCTTTGGGAGGCAGGGAGATTTACCGACCCTATTTTGAGACTAATAACGCGAGCTCGTTTTATTTGTATCGCAAATATAGCTCGACGACGTTTGAAGAGGGGATAAGACGTACAGCTTTGAGTAGGAATTTTGCTGTTGTCTCATCCAGAAGACAATCGATGTATCAAGACCAAAAATTAGGGAAAGGTGAGACGTTGATATACTGCTTTCCAGAAAGTAACAATCTTTACAAATATGGCGTTGTACTTTTAGCTAGAAAGTGGTTTCCGATATTAGAACGATTTAATACTATTATCCGTAGCGTCTCGGAAAATGGTTTGATAGACAAGTGGAATGAAGAATTGCTGATTCATACGAGCAGTGTTGAACTGACTAGCACTATAGCATCTCTGAGTGTGGAACATTTATTGGGTGCTTTCATGTTCATTGGTTTGATGTATATCATAAGTATTTTAATTTTTATTGGAGAGTTGATATATCATTTTACTGAACGTAGGAATGTAGTAAAAATGTCTGTTAATTCTTTTATTCATTCATCCAAATAGTTATTCTCATCTTTAATCTTTACGTTGATTATTATATTGTTTTGATTATTAGTTTAGTATTTAAAAGTTTTATAATAAAATAAATCAATTTATAAGAAATCATGATTCCGTAAGTCTACGGAACTGTATGAATGATGAGATAGATAAAAGATGCAACCAATGAAGAGCACCGTTCTTTCGGCAATTGTTTCAATGAAGTCAATATATAAAGAAAATATATTATAATAATAAATATTTGTTTTTCATTCTCGAATTTGACTTTTAATTTTATTACTTACTGGCTGTCCCGGCAAACGATGTTTTGCCTTAAAATAAAAAAAAAATTTAGGGGTGGACTACCCCTAATATTTAGGGGGATGAAAAATAGATGTTGGCCGATTCTCAGACCTACTCAATACGCTCACAAAATTTCATGAGAATCGGTCAAGCCGTTTCGGAGGAGTATGGGAACGAAAACTGTGACACGAGAATTTTATATATAAGATTTATGTTCATGTATATTATAAATGATATAGAGTTATATTTTTAGATATATAGGTTACGTTATAGCTGTTCTTCTAACCGCGTACCGCATATATTGTTTTATCTTAATATATACAATATTTCTTAAATAAAATCAAAAAGGCAGGCTAATATTTCAATTAGAATTACTGTAGTTAATAGAATCTTGCAATGCAAGATCATATTGCATATCACCCTCGTATCACAACATAAAGATAAATTACTAGTAAAATATCAGAAAAAGGAATCATGCTGTTATAGGTTTGGATGTATATGACTTAACAATAGCTGGATAAATTTAAATGAAGTTTAGTGCAGAGATAGAACGTATCCTCGATTTATATATATAACATTTGATATTCAAATTCCCAAAGGCCGTCAAAATACAGATACGATACAGTAACGAACAAAATATGAAAATTAAAAGAAATACAATTGTTAAGCATACTAATAGGATAAAGCTAAAGAGTTTGTTTGTTTGTTTGAACGCGCTAACTTAAATGATTTTCCTAAATTTCAGGAATTACTGGTTCAAATTGAAAAAATATTTTTGTGTTTAATAGTCTTTAAGTTGTATAATATTACGCTACGACCAATATGAGCGGAGCTGCAGTGAAAAATATTGCAAAAGTTGTGAAAAAGAAACGCAGACGAAGTTGCGCGGATCAGCTAGTCAAATATAATAGTCGTTTTAAACTGTAATCTATTTCCACGTCCCTTTTCTGAAACTGTTCCTACTCTGTTGTCTCGCACCGATCCAAGGTTATCTAACATTAACCTATTATCCCATAAACAGGATCATTTATAAAGCGTATTGTATTATTAATGGCAATATTATGTTTTGTATATTGAAGTAAATATAAGAGAATGATGTAGAAAAGATGGAAGAGATCGTTTGGGTTATTTCTACACTACTCGTAGATCCTATACGTGTATGAGACTAGTTAAAAGTTAAAGAGATGACCACGGTGGTCTAGCGGTCTAACACAGCGGCCCGCTTTACGACCGATGGTTGCGGGTTCGATTCCTCGCACGGCACAAACATTTGTATTCATGAGTATGATTGTTGGTATCGGTCTGGGTGTGTTCTATCTATGTATTTATAAAAAAAACCTATATATTTGTATCAGTTATCTAGTACCCATTACACAAGCTTTAGCTAGCTTAACTTGGGTCTAGACGGCGCTGTGTGAATAGTCCTGAGGTTATTATTATTATTATTATTATAAAGAGATTTTAGTGGCAGGGCTATGTTGTCTGTTGAATGTTAATTATTATTTTACTATTTACTTTACCCGGCTTCGCACGAGTGTACATGTATTATATATATAAACCTTCCTCTTGAATCACTCTATCTATTAAATAAAACACTTAAAAATTCATTGCGTAGTTTTAAAGATATAAGCATATATAGGGACGGACAAACAGCGACAGCGACTTTGTTTTATACTATGTAATGATTCTCACATGATATTTTTGGTTTTTGTCCTGGTGGGTCCCTCCCAAGGAATAAAAGAAATTATGTTGATGATGAATTTTTATACGGAAGACAAAATTTGCGGACAACTCTACATGTTTTACAACGAGCATGCGGCTCACCCGATGGCAAGCGACTACCGCCGCCCATGAGCACCCCCAACACCAGGGGAATTGCAAGTACGTTGTCGTACAAGTACGTTATTTAGTATTACAGCTTTTAGCAGAAGTATATAAGTAAGTCGGTGAAGTGTATTATGATTATACAGTTTGTCCTGGTCCTGGAAGATGTTGTTTTTGAAGTCGTCTCCTCGGGTTCCCCTATATTAGAAGCCAAGTCTTCTTTGAACGCTATATTTTAAAATTCCAGGGCCGTGGCCGTGTATATAAGGTGTGTTGATACTTGATACTTTAGTTCCTCGAAAATGCTACGTATATGACAAGTATCAAGATGCATGACACCGTGAAGTCAGTGTCGTTGCTCATATATATACATACTAGCTTTTGCCCGCGGCTTCGCTCGCGTTAATTTATCCTCTTAGGGGTGTAATTTATCAAAATCCTTTCTTAGAGGATGCCTACGTTATAGTAGCTTTATGCATGCAAAAGTCTCAGCACAATCGGTTTAAAATTGACAAAGTTTCATACAAACTGTCATCCTCTATTTTATCCCCTTGGGGGTAGAATTATCAAAGTCCTTTCTTAGCGGATGCCTACGTCATAACATCTATCTGCATGCCAAATTTCAGCCCGATCCGTCCAGTGGTTTGGGCTGTGCGTTGATAGATCACTATGTCAGTAACCTTTGAGTTATATATATTTAGATGTAGGTAACAATTATGAGATTACCCGTTGTTTACTTACGCATTTACTTAATCAATTCAGTTAAAAAATAAAAAGTAGATTATCACTGGTCAGACCATTTCTATTAAAAAAATAAGGCTATAAAACTGGAAGTCAAAGTTCGTATGTCGGTTCCAGAATCACCGCAGCTACACGAATATATGTGTATATTTATGTTACTCCACAGAGAATAATCAACGCTAGGTATGTTCAAGGTACCGCAACCGCGAAATATTGAGTCCTATTTACGGCAGGGATGCCAACCATTTTCCATATATATCTTTACTAAACTAACTGTGACTATGTTTTAACAGTTTATTTTGTTTGTTATACTATAGTTACAACAGTTAGTTACATTAGCTACGACGACTAGCTGTGTTATTCTAATGAATAAGCTATATTACTGTAAAGTTACATCAAAATCCGTTCAGTTGGTTTTGCGTGAAAGAGTAACAAACATCCATACTCACAAACCTTCGCGTTTATAATATTACTAGCTTTTACCCGCGGCTTCGCTTGCATTGAATCCAGTAAACATCCCTACTTTGGTATTTATAATATTGGTAACGATTTATAACTTCATTACTGACTGCTAAATGGCATTGAAGTAACAAAAATTGTTTTTTTTTATAAAATATTAATTTTTTTTAATAAATGGTATCCTATGTTCATTCTAATATCTCCAAGAATATGCATACAAAATTTCAAGATGATCGGTTCAGTAGTTTTTGTGTGAAACCGTAACAAACATACCTACTTTCACATTTGTAATATTAAGAAGGATTATGATGTTCTAGCGGTTTAGCATACTGCTTGATTTCAAATGGTCGTGATTTCGATTCCTTTGACGAAGAAAACATTTTGTATTCAAGATTTATTTATTGTTTGTATTGATTTGGATGTTTCTATGTTATATGTATGTATTAAAAAAACCTTACTAATATTATAAATACGAAAGTAACTCTGTCTGCCTGTCTGTCTGTCTGTCTGTCTTGCTTTCACGCCAAAACTACTGAACCGATTTAAATAAAATTTGGTATACATATAGTCTAGAACCTGAAAAAGGACATAGGACTTTTTAATCCGAAAAAAGGATTATAAGGTGTTGAAAGTTTTGTCTACATTTGGGACTAGATGGCGTTGTGTGATTTATCTACAATTATTTCCCTCCATTTGCATCCTAACATAAGGCACATTGATTTTAGAAGAAAAAGTGTAATCCATCACATTTAAAATAAGTAATCATGTTGTTAAGTAACAGTTTATATGTAACGTGCAACTGATCGGAACGAGAACAAATTATGTTTGATGCTGTATATGTGTAATCCGTTAAATATCTCCATCTTAACACAAGTCATTACGAAATTGTGGCCTAAGAAAATCGGTCTAAATATTATGATATAGTCTATAGATTGTCAAATTGAGCTAATATGCGAGATTTTATCAGATTTTATTTCTTTGTACGAGGTGGGTGTTGCCAACCCTGATTTATGGGGAACACCTGTAGTGAGAATCAAGGATGCGTTCAGATATGTTGGACGAGTTATATAATGTTTACATAAACAGTATGTTAGCAAGTTTGTTGACTTACTTTTTTTTGTAAATGGACATAAAACAGTTAATTTTCTATCCGAAACTAATATCTACAAGTACTTAAACAAATTAAGTTATCTATTGTAATAAATTTCCTAAGCAAAAACTGAAATATATTTTTAACTTATATGTATACTAGCTACTCGCCCCGGCTTCACACGGGTGTACATGTATTATATATAAACCTTCCTCTAGAATCACTTTATCTATTAAAAGAAACCGCTTCAAAATCCGTTGCGTAGTGTTGCGGGTGAATATTACGATGTTGCTGGTCGAGACGATGTATTGTACAGATGATGATAAACTGACAATGTGTACATAGAAATAATGATCTTATATACTAAATAACAGTATATATGTAAGGTGGGGTGACATAGTTTAGATACAGCAGTGCCTAGTAGACAATATTGAATTTGTCTTACTAGACATTATTAAATGCAATTATTATTTTGATGTATCTAGGTGACTGTGTCCCATAGATATTCCCCCTTTGAGAGAAAAAAATATATATATTACACACAAAAAAATTATAAAAGTTAACTGTAAAATTTAAGATATTATGCACTTTAGTAACAATAAAAATTGAT